ATATTTGAGATTGACAAGGCCTGTTGACTGAGGATACGCCATGTGGGTGATCAGAGTTGTGTGGACACTGCTCCTCAAAAATTCGTATAGAATATTTGAAATTGACATGAAGTCATACAAACCGCAATCGTGGGAAAATATAACTTGAATAGTAACCTCAAAACTGATGAAATCTGTATGTTGAGTAGTCGGCAGCAGTTATTTTCCCATTGAATTACCGATTCATTTTTCAACCACTTGTTAGGTTATCTTAGTTGTTGACACAATTTGTCACAATTTCTTGAAGTTTCCTTCCCACAATGATGATCCATCATATCTCCAACGTAAGAAACACTCCACTCGGACGCAATTTAATGTGATGAAAATACCTAATATTAACTCAAAACTGTTTTATTAGAGGAGCAAGCGACGAAAAACGTTATGATGCTCCGACACAATGAAACAATATGAAGTCAGATGAGAATCATCCCAGGCATAAGATGCTGCAAAAATTTTGAATTTATACGCTTTAAACGTTGTGGTGTTAGGCATGGCAAAGCATATCTACATTATTATAATCGAAAAAGAGATAATAGAATATCATATACTCAGCCTTTTATGTGACTACTGGGGCGTTCCATTCAAGTTCGATTAAACCGAAAGCCTGTTCTTCAAACTTCAAGAAAAATTGAATATGTTGTCCATTTATTCCATGCATGGCTTGAAATGTTGATAAAACATTTTTTTTCCTTTGAAATTTTTGCGAACTGAAAATTTTCATGTTGGGCCATTCAGTTACTTTTTAAACAATTGTAACTGGATAAAAATGAATTTTATCAAAGAAGTGTAACAGAACTTTTTGATTCAAAACAGGTGTCGTGTCGAAGAAGAAATTCCGACTCAACAAAATTGAATTTACAGTGAATTAATCAATAATTAAATTGAAAAATTAACAGTAAATCAGGAAGGCATAGTGCAAAAAATTCGGAAAAACATATGTCATAGGGTAGGTATCGAAGAATTGCCGATATACAATTGGCGTTCTGTAATCTCTAATAGTTCTCGAGATATTGAGTTGCTTGTAAATCTACGCCATTTCATCAACGAATTGCGGGAGACTGCAATCCAGGCACTCATGATTTTACATTACTTATTGACAATGTAATAATTTCCGGAAATGTCAATGGACAGTCGCCTGGTGCACGAGGTCAACCAGACAAGAAATTCTACGTTTTATGACCCATCTACTGGCAGCATGATATATAGATTAGGTTTCAATTAGTGCGATTTACGTGCAAAAGGGAGACGTACTAATATCCATAGTCTTTAATGTAAAGCTTTTTTTCTTGACAATGAATTTCAGATCCACAACGTCGTGGAGTTGAATCAATAGTGAAATAGCCATGTCTGATGTACATAACATTGTACATTTCTAAATGCTCCCTCAGATTTTGTTAATAAATTTGTTTTATTTCTTCTCGATAATGCGTTATCATTTGAATTTGACTCAAAATTGCATTAAATCGTAAACAATTAATTGCAATATATTTATTCCTCAGACCCTAAGAAACTACGCCAAGCATCGGATATGGTGCCAAGTCGACTCACCGCAACATGCACAACTCTGCTCTAGCCAGCCAAGCCTCATAAAAAACTCAATATCTCGGGAATTACTGGAGATTGGAGAACGCTAATTGTATCGGTCCTTCTTTGATACCTGCTCTATAACATTTTTTTTTCAATTTTTCGCACCATGCCCCCATGATTTGGTAACTTTTGAATTTGTTTATCGGTTGATTAAGTGTGAATGCAACTTTTCGAGTCTGGATTTTTTGTCTCAAAACTTAGACAAGTTTTGAATAAAAAAGTTTTGTTGCACTTCTTTGACAAAATTGATATTGATCGAGTTATATATTTTTTTAAATCACGTACCTGGTTCAACCTAACAATTTTGATTGCAGATAACTTTCAAACAAATTTTTTTTCTGTAAGATTTCAAAGCATTCATGGAACAGTTCTACACCATATTCAATTTTTATCGAAATAAAAAAATGCTCATTGAAATAGTATGGAATGCCCCGAAAACCAACTTTTGAATCGAAATTGGTCGGTGATTCTCAAAGGGTTCAATAAAATATTGTGTTTAACTTGAAACGAAACATTCCTCACGATTTATGTACTTATTCATGTTGATTCAATAAGCGAACAACATTCAAATAATTTCATAAATATTTGAAGGAATAAATTCCTTGTCGTTGCACGAAATTATTGCGTTAGGTATTATTATGCTAAGGAACATATAGGGTAAAAGTGATAGTTTAATCTACAGCCAAAAAAAATTATACCTTGTTTCAAAATTTCAAAGATCTTAAAAAAAGATTTTCAAAAGTTTTAATTTGAAGCATGAAATTCGTAAGTTGAGGGGCCCGAAAGTCTCAATTTGAGACGTTGAAATCTCAATTTATGCCTCCTGCAAATCTCAAGTTGAGATATTTAAAAGTTTCAATATGAGCCTTTCTTAGACTCAAATTGATACTTTCAAATGTCTCAAATTAAAACTTTCGGAACCCGACTTGAAATTTTTATCCAAGGGAAGTTCTGAAAGTATCAACTTGAGACTTTTGAAATTTTTGATTTGTAACGTTTGAAAATCTCAATTTGGGACAATCCAAAGCCTTAATTTGAGATTATAAGCCTCAAAATAAAGCTACTTTTTTTGGATGTAGTGAGTACCCTCACATTACTCCACTTTTCACAACTATAATATAACATCTTTCACAATTATAATGTGACACCTTAATAACAGACAAGCGTATCTACATAGGGAACTCATACTTCTTACGCTTGGCTGCTATTAAAATGTCCATATGGTAATGTACGTCTGCAACTGGGCTTTCTTACGACGCTCTAATACATAGCTCCACTCCGTACTGTTCCCACACCGATACGATTCATGACTTACGCTGTTCAATTCGATGAGAATGTCGAGTAAACTAAGCGGGACAAAACGGAAAGAAAAAGAACAAAATATGAAAAAGCTATACTTATGTCAATTAAATGTTCAGCATGCACTGCGATTTTTGGGAGGCTTCCAAGTCCTGTCTATCCGTTCGACTTGAAAGAGTTGATAGGAAAAATGTTCCTGTGTATAATTTTAGAACAATTATGTGAAGAAAAGGAGAAAAAAAATTAAAGCATTAGTGGACATTTTCAAAACAAGATGTTCATTTCATCTTATTTTCGGTTCAAGTGAAGAATCATTTTATTAATTGATGTCCTTGAAGGTCATTTCAACGGAACTCGTGTTCATTTTTATTACGTATTTTTCCTTTGCTATTTGTTATCCTTTAGATTGATTACTCAATTTTGACAATGTTATTGAGCCCATTCATTAATATTCAATTATTTTACCATATTGCATCGAGTGTATCGTTGTATGGAAATGACCACATGAATTTTTATCACTGGGCCGGCAATTTATTTCACAAAACACTTGTCACAAAAATATTTTCAAAATCAAAAAAAGATCGACCATTTTGCCCGGATGGAAAAAAATTCCACTCGACATTGAATAACTTTGTTATCAATCTTTCCACTTGCGGCGTAGCGTGGAGACTCTAAAATGTACTGATAAGTTTCTCTTCATTATATTTTCCTCATTCCTTATTTTTCATTGTGAAAGGTTGATGGAATTTATGAGTTGACTAATTTTATCTCCACATTGGAGAGATATTTCCCGTCTAAGGAAAAGCGTAGAATGGAGAGACAAATGAAATGAAATGTAGATGGCATGAGGCACTGCGTTACTTGCGATGCTCTGTGTTGAGATGGGTAGATCGAATAAACGTCGATTAAAATCAATTGAAAGGTGTAAACGTCAAATATGATCATTCAGTCTCCATCTGACTTCAGAGTTTATTTTTATTCAGTACATATGTCACGCAAAATTGTAAATAGAGTTCGAAATGAACACAAACTGGCATGATCATATTTCCTCTACTGTAAATCTATATTAACTCTCCATGTCCAGATTCTCTCGTCTGATAGGAATTCTTCGCAAAATTTGGAAATTTGTCCCAATAGATTTTTCGGTTATTCAAGAGAAAATTGAGTAGTACATTAACCCTCTGCGGTTGAAGTCGTACTGGGTCGCAGTTTCAGCGACGGAGTGGGGCGTACTAATCCTTATGGTAAGTGTTCAGAGTAGTGAAAATGTCCGTCAGCTCAGAAGGTTATGATTGAATTTAAGATAATATCTTCATTATCTGCTTGTTCATTTCAGAAATTTGTAATTTTAGGAAAAAATATCAATTTTCTAAATGTACTTGATATTTACTCAAATGTGAAGAAAACCACTCGTTCTACTGCGTTCTATCATTTCACTGCTGAAATTATCATCATTCTTTTCGAGGTCATTATCTAATAGCAATGTTTAAGGAGTGAAATGGTGAATTCCGGGAATTCCAGAGAACTGTAATCGGTGATTGACTTTGAAATAGTTCTATGGCTATTGAGAAAGTCAAATTAGTTAATTGTCAAAGTTTCACATAAGAATGAAAACTCATCTTGAAATGGAATATCTATGAAATGCAGATTGAGTTGAAACCACTTTTCAATTTGCATCTTCTTGCTGGCGACGATCATCAGAAAAAAACTAGATTAAAACCTTACACTGTTCAACACGATCATTGTTGAATATTCTGTTAATATTTGTTTTTCCATTTTTCATGCAATCTGTAATAACGATCATCACGTATTCTCCAACAAAAGTACATACTTCAATAATAATTACAAACAATGGGGAAGTAATATGCAGGAAGAAATTCCAACGATGAAGGAGAAATTTACGTGAATTTTTCGCATGAAAGAAAACTATCTCAATTCTTAAAAACTGTTGAACTTATAGAATACTGAAGGGAAGAACATTCGAAATCACTTGTTGCTGCGAAAGTTCCAAGCACATTCATGGACACGAAGATAAATACATTTAAAATATGGGAAGGGAAATTTGTTTCACTCACCTCAGAAAATGACTCTTCGAAGACACCAAAAACGTTTCCGAATAATGTCTGAGACGTTTCTCGCCACGTGAAGCCCAAGGCAGCTGCGACCCACGAGGGCCTCTAATGAGAGGGGAAGGAGATTAACTTTTGACGTATTGCGATAGTCGTCCGCGTGTAACGTAACCGTTCGTATTGCCGTGGAATCACCGAATGTACGTCGTTGTCAGAAGACTGACCACGAGTACCGTGCCTCCAGGCCACTCCCCCACTCCATTTGCGTATCATCGAGGTTTTGTTTTTATCTCATTTTAGATGTTCGAATTCTCTCTGGCCATTTATTTAATATGATTCGTTCAAGCGTAATAAGAGGAAGAGGTAGCACGACGGATATGATGTGTTAATTAATTTATCAGAAGATATGCTTCGTTTTTTATTAGTTCGATCATAACTTTTTTCACTCCATCTGTGAGCCGGAAATAGAAGTGAATGCAATTGATGGGTTATTCTTCTACATTCCTAGAAGGAAGTTATGATAATGATACCGAAATTCAAAGTTCATGATATCTCCTATGATGATTGTCCATGCATCTCATTCACAATCTAGGCTCAATATTTTGTGTATTATTCATGAATTGAAAACGTGATTTCTTTTTAATTGAAGATCACCCGGTTTAGCCCATCGATAGTCGCGCTATGAGACTTTCTCTCTATTCTCTCTATTTTGCTGAATTTTTTTAAGTGCTTGAAGTAACTATTCTGGTTGGCTTTGGTGGTGATAAAGTTTGGTTATCGGTCAAGGTTGAGCAGAAAAAAATATTCTCTTCGGTTCGGCCGAAATTTTCCGAGTGTTACGGGTACGCGACTTGTGCCGTTCCACTCTGAACAGCGCCGCCTGTAGTGATATATAACTCTATTCTTGCAAGAAGTCAATGAGAGGTTCTCTCATCGCGCGCCTCGAAAATGCTGGTGGAACTGCGCGCCTACTGATGGGTTAATTAATCGAATTTTACGTAATGCATCGGAACTATTTAAGAAAAATATTGGAAACGAGCTCACAGAAAAAGCTAAATGCATATGACAATTTACTAAACGTGAATTAAATTTCACGAAATGGACATTACGGTTAATGTTGATATGATGTTTAGCGGCTTCTGTTGCTTTATAGAAATGGAACATTAGACTGTATTTCACCGTCAACACGAAAAAGTAATTGATGCCAAAACAAAACGTCTTTTATGTTTCATTAACCGTATTTTATATTTGAGAAATCCTAAATTACGACGTCAATAGGAACATAATTGATATCGTTCTTATGTCTAATTTACGGAAAAGTCATCATCTTTTATGCTTTAATCAACCTTTAATAAACGGATGACGTCATCGTTTTCACATTGTGACGAGGCAGATTTAGTTGATCTTTAATCCTCGTCGTTGTTTGTTTATTTAAATTTCAAAAATATTATTGGAGTCTCCTCATGACGCAATACGCTAGAGCGTAACAAAATAGGTCTTCCAGTTGTCACAAAGGACAATCCGGAGATTATTTCCCTCGGGCAATTATTAAATATTATTAATTTGCCAAGATTCATGGAGTCTATAGTGACTCAAAGAAGCTAAAGCTTATTAAATGTACTGTTCGATTATGATGAAGTGCCGTTCGATTGTAAAAATGTACAAAATATGTCACCTCAGAACTTTTGAATTCCCCAAGAAATAACTAACCTCTTAATTATCTTCCAAATTCTCAAGCATATTAGAAATGATCTGATTGCGTACTCTCGGTCCGGAGGAACGAATTCCAAAAGTAAATAGATTGTATTAAATACTTTCCTGAGAACTTTTCGCCTTCCTGACGCACGCAGTGCAATGCACACCCTTACCTATGTGTTGTCAGGTGTGCTCGTGCTATATTCAACTTAATTACTTCATTTTTGGGATGAGGGAATGGTTCAGTAAAAATAAATAGAGGAAACGATTCGAATAACCAAAGAATCCTATATTCGGAAAACTGATATGAAATGAGTGAAGAAAATTAATATAAACCCAACGGAAGTGGGTTGTCACCCAAACTGACAACTAAAATAACAGTAATGAAATGAAATAATACTTTTGTTCAATATCAAAACTCTGAGAGAAAGGTGAATGCAAAATAAGAAAAACCAAAATACACTTTTTCCGGAGAATTCCGATCCGCCAGACTCGACACAACCCAAAAATAATTATTACTGAAAATTAATAAATGATTTGCTTTCCGGAGAGCAACGGAGAGACCCGGTTATTATTTTATTAATTTACGGACGGCAAATGTACACAACGCAGGTCCGGAGACACCACGGGGGCTTTCACAAAGCCTCTTATTCGCGATATTAACCGAACAATAACAAATTGAACCAAGAAAATAAGGATAGTCAACAATCCTACTAAATTTTAATGTCACCATCCCTCTCTGTGAATAACTCCCAAATTTCCCTGAGCCAGACTAGAATACTTTCAAGCCCCTCGGGATACACCAGGATTGCGAAAAACTAACTAAACGGGCTAAGATGGCGGATCCACGCTTTCCCTCCGAGGGTCAGCGATAGACCCGCAGCTTCCATATCACCAACCCCCAGCTTCCGTATCCCAAACTCAAGCTAATCCCTCCGAATCACGGGCGACAACTCGACTGATTGGAATTATTCCAATTTTCTTTACCTGAGAAAATCGCTAATTTGTAAAATCCGGAAGATATCGCAGAACATTTTGTCAAGGTCATATGTAGCATAATAATCAGATTGTTCAACAGCACTGTAATTTTTGAGGATAGACTTGGACTCTCTGAAAATGACTGTCCTGGAAAAATTCGTTCTGAAAAAATATTATCTTCTGACGAGAATATCAATCCTTGGCAGGAATAATTTTTTCTCTCAGTGTGGCCAGTGCTGAAACGATGAGCGGCTAAAGCTGTTTTGTCCTCCTTGAAGATTTTCTGAGGTGCACAATCATTCTTGTGCTGTCTCAATCTCACCCCCAACAACTGCCTCATCTGTCCGATATAACACCTCGAGCATTCATATGGGATTTTGTATACTAGCTCAGATCGATTCATGAGCGGTGTCTCGTCCTTCAATTTCATATACAAACGTTTCGACGCGGGCTTTCAGGTGTCTCCTGGGTTTGACATTCTTTGGGTGTTGCTGTCATACTGTTAACTTATTATTTTCTTTTACTAAGAGAATTGTGCAATAAAGTGTACTCCTACACAATGGCAATTAGGAATAATTTGACTAGACATTGATCGTGTCAAGGTATAGGATCTCACGGTTGTTGTCTAAATGTTAAGTGTTGACAAGGGATTGTTTGATTATGTTTGAAGAGATGGTTTTTTTTCTGGTTTACATGTGGTTTTTAACATTTTTTGTTTGTATTATGTCTTTCCAGAGCCTGATGAAGGTAAAATAATTAGCGAAACGTCGCACTTATGACAATTTGATCAACGTTGTTATCATTTCTCCAGCATCCCTTGACTTTTAATATCATTTATTCTCTGTATATTCTCCTCAAAATTATCTGCGCGATGCGATGTATGGATACTTCCTCGAGCGGCCACAATATCACGTGAAGATCACCTAGCCTGACGTACTTCCAGAGGTCGGTTTCGCTGCAACCAATCAGAGAATTCCTTTGCAGTAGACTCCCCCAGTGGTGCCGTCACGAGGCCTTGACATAGACCTTCCGTGTTTGAATTTTAGCCAATCGGATAATTTGTTGGCCGCGGCAGCCCCAGAGAGTCCGTATGGTGGTGCCCTCAGTTCTTCTTTTTCGGAGACGTTTCAGTTCTGGCGGATGACGTATTTTCGGAGTCAGTCCCCTTCACTGGGTATGCCAAGTTCAAGTTCGGGGCTATCCGTAAGGTGCTGCCCGCTAGATGATGATGAGGTTGTCTATTCTCACGTGGTTGAATGCTCGTGGTTATGGTGGTTTGTTTTGGTGGTGTTTGGAGGATGAGGTGTCTCTAAAACCTCTCCGAAGGCTGGGAGGTTCTCCAGGTGTGAAGTTCTTCTCCAGCAGTAGAATCCAGTCCCTCGGCGGTCGTGATACCTGGGCCAGGTCCTCCCAATGCTCTGAGGGCCTAATAATCAAACTTAACCTCTACCTGTCACTGGTGCATCCCAAATCCACGCCAGAAAGACGATTATGTCCGTTAGTCAGGTATTTATTCTGGATAAACCCCCAGCACGCCCAATCGATACAAAAAACGACGCTCTTTGTCCCAACATGAATAGCCATGCAAAAATGAAATGAAAAAGAAACATCTTTGTGACGATCTCGGAATTTTTTGATCTTAATTAATTAAAATATTCATTTTTAATACGTCACAACTGTCCCCAAGCCCAATGTCTCCCAACGTAATTTTTACCCTAGGCGCCAGCCTATTTTATTTCTAATATTGGCCAAATAGGCAAATGCCCATTTTCCATACAAAAAGTGATTAATTCACCACACACCGAAACTGTCAGCGTGGACTCTTTCTAACAAGGGGGAGGAGGGACGATGCCTCCTATCGAATTCTCGGAAGGGCGAAAAATAAATCAGAATGCAGAATTTTATGCCCCAAAGAAACTGGTCTATTCAATAATATTTACAAGAAATGATACAAAATGTGAATAATTGAAATACAGAAATTTTAGGTGTCTGAATCATAAAATAATACGAAAAACAAATGGACCACTGGCTTCACCAGTGCGCAAAATGAATAATTATATACTAGCGTGGGGAAAAATCCTATCTTTCCCCACTCTCTCACTGAATTAAGATGAAATCTATTTTTAGCTGATATCCCAGCATCCAACAAAATTAATTCAGGATGAATCACGTCAAAATTATCTCTAAATCTATTCACAAAAATATATCAAATGAATTTGAACTCTAAATAATAAAAGAAAAGGAACTATCGAGACTCACTGTCTCTTCTCAATACCAAATTACGAGATAAATTCTAACTCCACTCTACAGGGTTCAGGACTCCGTCTCGACCCAATAAACAAATAAATACGCTCTAGACACGACTTATCTCAATTTCTGTCCAGTCCAGGGCCCCAGAATCCTCTCCAGCAGCTCCAGTCCGTCCAAGAATCGATTCAAATCTCCAAAAATCTCAGCGACTCGACAGCTACTCGACTGAGCTCCTACACTCTACCTGTCTCAGAGGGAACTGACGCTATGGTCATT